ACCCCTCCCCCTACAGTGCCTACACCCTCTCTGTCTCTACAGTGTATCATCCCTACACCCCTCCCTGTCTCTACAGTGTATCATCCCTACACCCCTCCCTGTCTCTACAGTGTATCATCCCTACACCCCTCCCTGTCTCTACAGTGTATCATCTCTACACCCCTCCCCCTTACACCATCCCTGTCTCTACAGTGTATCATCCCTACACCCCTCTCCCTACAGTGTATCATCCCTACACCCCTCCCACCTACACTCTCCCTGTCTCTACAGTGTATCTCATCCCTACACCCCTCCCCCTACACCCTCCTTGTCTCTACAGTGTATCATCCCTACACCCCTTCCCCCTACACCCTCTCTGTCTCTACAGTGTATCATCCTTACACCCCTCCCCCTACACCCTTCCTGTCGCTACAGTGTATCATCCCTACACCCCTCTCTATACATACACTCTGGTATGTTACCTGAGTACATATACACCTGAGTACATATGCACCTATGCACATATACACCTGTACTCATACTCTGGTATGTACGCACTTGTCTTGAACTCGTGGAGAAATGAATTGCGCAACGAACCCACACAGCTGATGAGTAGCGAATGGATTGCACGTGCACTACTGTTTTGATTTAGGCCAAGTAAAGCATTGTTTCTTGTTGCGATTCACATTCTCATAATCTGCTTCCAGTAAACCACACGTACACGCACGTGCACGGGCACACACACACACACGCGCGCACACACACACACACACACACACACACTCGGCAATCAGCAGAGCGTCCCCTTGCGCAATCATGCGTGTACGTGTCGCAAGATCTCTGTGTGAGATGGATGTCTGGACGCGTAGTGGGTCGCGTAGCCACGGCCTTATTTTTATTGATGGCCAGGCGGGCCACCAACCCGACAGTTTCAGGTGGCCCGACGCCGTTTCAGATGGCCATTGGCACCCGTGCCACCGTTAAAGTCTAGCCCTGGCTATGCGCATTGGGAATCTGTACGTCACAGGTCAACAAAATGGCGCTCGAAATATCACCGCCCGTCACTTCGAAATTTTGTAACCGGTTATAATAGTTTAATACAGAGTATTGTGATACATAGTAAGACCCAGGATAGCGGAGAAAGGTTCGTGTTTAGAATAAACCCAGTTTGGAAGTTCTAGTCTGGAAAAATGCACCATAAAGCCGCCTGTCTGTCTGTGTATCACGATTCATATTGAATCGTGTCCCTAGTATATCATACTACCCAGTCTACCCTGCATTACTTAGAGGCTACATTATATCTTGAGTTCGCAGGGATGCTGCGGTATATTTTGTTATGACCTATAAATAGTCTGAGATTGAACTTCCCAGCTAAGAATAAGTATTTTATGAAATTTATTATTTATGTTTACTCTTTCATACTCGGGTATAATGCAGACCACCCTACTGCGTTCTGTAGGTGGTTTCTATAGTGACGGGAGTGTATATATGAGGTGCTTTAGTAATATTGTTGGACTGCAGAACAATAATGGGTAATTGCATACAGCTCCAGGTTAATTTCCAGATCCCCTGCTAGGCACTAGTATTATATTGACAAACGGTTCAGCCCATTTGTTAGAGGAGAATACTTGTGTAGTTTTCAGCACTTTTTATAAGTTAACTTGTGCATATATTTATACTACACGTCATTTTCTATATTCATGGAGTTTAGTAGAATTACAAAGGAAGTGTAATATAGCAACGGTGTTATTTCGTATATACAAGTTAGTAATTGCTAGATGTAAGCATCAAATAATTCACGGAAATTTAATAACCATACTTAGTCTTAAACGTGGATTTAAAATCTTGCTGAAATCGGCCAGGTTTCCAGTTATTGCCGTGATGCCATGTGCAGAGATGCCAACCACTACACTTCGTTTGCATTTTGACCACTACGACCAGTTTGCATACAACTACGATTTTTATTTTGTTTCAGTGTTACATTGATATAACATGATTGAAAATAACTACATGTATTTAGCAGCAAACATCAGTGTAAACTTACTGTCATTTTGGGTCCCAGAATGCAGGAAATTGCATCTCGGAATCAAAAATTTTCCGGGGGGGCATTCCCCGAACCCCCCTAGCATACTCGGGTCACCACGACTACAGATTTCAGACATCCTCACTACAGTTTGCTCAGAAAAGTGTTGGCATCTCTGCATGTGAACTGGTAAGGTGCAGCTCCGTGCTAAGTTTAAGTATTTCAATGGCCCTTAAATATCTTGTTTTGTTCATTGAGTTGATTGTGAGCGTGGTTTCTTCAACACTTATATATATATATCTCATATGAAGAAGTTTTCTGATTTCACATAATCGACATTATCTTGTGCATTGTTTGTCAGTTAACCGTATTTGCTTGTATTATGTGTAGTAGTATTGAAATTAATCATCAGTACAATATTGCATACTGCCGATGAAAAGTGTGTGATGAATGACAGGTGAGTGGTGTGAGTTCATTGCAGGCAGACACTTATTGATTGGGTCGCTCATGCTCGTTTCTCATTCTGGCAGCTGCTGCACTGCGGCATGTATTTATCATTACCTGCGTAGCTGCTCAATTGTAGCTGCAGCAGCGCTGCGCATGCCTATATAAAGTAACGTGGTTTACCTGTGATATCAACTCTCGTGACAAGTTAGTGACGGCGTATTCGTGTGCGGTACCTTGTCACCTAAGGTCTTCCTCATTCAGCTATTGAAAGTGCAACCAGTTCTTGCCACTTGGTATGTATACTTTGTATACATGTATACCTTGTATCTAGCGTGTGATTATTTATTGTAGGAAATGTTCATTGTTTGATGTGATGTAACTCAAATGGTTGTAAATTGTCTTATGGTGTCAATTGTAGTGAGCCAATAGCTGCGTTCACACGATATACACGGCCTCGCTGGTTCCGTACTTATCTGGTGCTGAATTCGGCTGAAATACCGTGCTAAGACAACCCGGAGCGTGCACAGGAGAATCGAGGCTTAGCTGGCTAGGTATAATATAGGCTGGTACCCGGTCGACAGTTCCACACGCTACACTAACGTCGTGTAGCGAACGTCTACCAGTCTAGGTAAGCGCACTACAGTTTCGCAATTCGAAATTGCGTTCACACGACAGACAATACACGGCCAGCGTGGTGCCGAATATACGCAGCTTATTCAGTACCGTACTGAATTAAACATTAGATACAATAATGTAACCCAAACACAGGATAGGGTTACAACGCGAGCCTATTCTTTTCTTTGGAGGAACCTCTCTCTGAGTGATTCACTCAAGGCGGTTCCAAGGATAGAGAACATGGGTCCCAATAAAACCAATGTGCCTAACCCCAACCCTAACCCTAATCCTAACCCTAACCATAACCCTAACCTATTATATTGATATAATATTATATTTATATTGATGTAAATGACATTGGTTTTATTGGGACCCATGTTCTCTATCCTTGAACCGTTTTGGTCCTGAGTTTCCTCTGACCAATGCCCACATCGACGATTTTGGTGGATTTGGTGTGGGTTAGATCAGAACAACTTGCCTATACAAAACGTGGATTTTCTCCGATCCCGCCGAGGATCGCTGTATCATCGCTCCAAACTCACAATTGGGGCTATCAATCAAGACCTGACGCACATAGAAAACTGGATAACTTATAAGTTATATGCTTGCTCGCGGTGGTAAGTACACTTGTACTCTTTTACCTTAGTCGTATTTCGATTTGAAAATTTGTTGCTAACAATTTCCCTCCGACATCGGCCATCCATCGTGCATTCAACTGCATTTTGGGAAACAACAGAGTAGCATATTTTGGTAGCGTGGTAGTTTCCCAAAATGCAGTTGGATGCACGATGGATGGCCGATGTCGGAGGGAAATTGTTAGCAACAAATTTTCAAATCGAAATACGACTAAGGTAAAAGAGTACAAGTGTACTTACCAACGCGAGCAAGCATATAAGTTATCCATTTTCGATCTATGTGCGTCAGGTCTTGATTGATAGCCCCAATTGTGAGTTTAGAGCGATGAAACAGCCATCCTCGGCGGGATTGTAGAAATTCCACGTTTTGTATAGGCAAGTTGCTCTGATCTAACCCACACCAAATCTACCAAAATCGTCGGTGTGGGCATTGGTCAGAGGAATCTCGGACTAGGCGGTTTTATGGTATGTTTATCGAGACTACAACTTCCAAACTGGGTTTATTCTAAACACGAACCTTTCTCCGCTATCCTGGGACTTACAATGTATCACAATACTCTGTATTAAACTATTATAACCGGTTACAAAATTTCGAGGTGACGAGCGGTGATATTTCGAGCGCCATTTTGTTGACCTGTGACGTACAGATTCCCAATGCGCATAGCGTTCGGCTAACTTCGACTCCAATATCGAATGTATCATGGGATGCCTGCTTTCAAACTGCATGCAGTGCACCTTTGTACACTCAGGATACCACTGCCACAATGCTAGCACTATTTTTAAAGTGGGCGGAGCTCCGGGGAAATCCAGCGAATGGAGATTCGTAAAAACAGCGCATGATTTGAAAGTAGTAAATGGGCGCACAATATAATTATTGATTACACTTTCACGCGCCATCTCGCGGCAACTATAGGCCTAGTTTAAATTAGATTTTATTCTCATGTAACTTTGCATATGTAACTAGTACCAGGGCTCGAATTAAGCGACGAGAAGGGCAAGGCAATTTTTTTAGGGCGTGTGAGAAATCAGCAAATCGCCTTGAAATTTTTCTCTATAAAATGGAAGGACACAGAAGGCAAGTTTAAAAGGGCACCAAGGCAACCTCAAAATTTGAGAGGGCAGCAAAGGCACTTTGTAAAATAAAGGAAACTTATAACAAATTAGCTACATTCAACATCATCGTCTGCTTTTAATGCCTAGCAAAACAATTGATGCCGCCCATTAAGCTTACACCTGTAACCATCGGACGCTACACCCTCTGCTTAATGGAAGTGTACAGTAAACAAAGAAATTTTACATGCCGCTGCATCAGGCAGCGAATTAATATCCGATGCTGTTATTATTCGCCTCCTGCGACTACGGTTTTAAGCTTTCATCATTGCAGCTACAGCACGCACCGCACGAGTTTATGTTGACTGCGACTAAAAACGAAACTAGGGCAGTAGATTATAAGCCGGCACCGACGGCAATTACACAAAAGGGCATAGACAGAAGACTGCTGTCGTCGGTGTTGGATTTTCAGCAGGGCAGTAACGGCGATTGTAAGAGTCACGCGACGGCACATTGCCGTCGGTTGGCCGTCGGTTAATTCGAGCCCTGACAGTACCATATAATATATATTTACTTTTTCATCTTGAATCTTAACATATACATGTAGCTATGGCCGTGGCGTATCACATTTACCAGGTATGCGAACATAAGCTGTTACCTATAGAAATATTTAGGAGATGCACTATATTATTATTATTTTCTATGGCTGTTTACGACTCAGGGGCATAGGAATGAGTATTATTGCATGGGAGCAGTAAAAGGCATCATTGCTGTTTAAAAAAAAAAATTATATAACATAAGAGTGAAGGGAGAGGAGAGAAAGTAAGATAAAGAGAGAGAGAGTACGTAAATTGAGACGGGGAACAGGAAGAAAGCGTTAATAACAGTGTGTATGCGAGCGCGGAACGGGTACAATTAGGTCGTTGCGATAGTGAATGGTGTGCAAGGGATGGGAGATGGAGGTAGGGCAAGCGGAAGGTCGAAGGCAGGGGAGGGGATGGAGGTAAGGAGGTGAAGTGGAAGGCAAGTGGGAGTGAGTAGAAGTGGTAGGCAGGAGGGAGGGAGGTGAGCAGGCCAGGAGGGAGGGAAGTGGGACTCAGCTGGCGAGGGAGGTGGAAGTGATGTACCCTC